CGGGATTTTCTCCCCCAACTCACCCCAAAATCGCGATTTTCATTCAAATTTCATAGGATTAACAACAAATTCGATACATATAAGTACTTTAGATGAGTAATTACCTGTCTAATTGATACGAATTTCGGATTTGGAAGGATTGTGAGAAGAATTTAGGATTTTTGTGAAATTTGGGGGTTTTTGGTGGTTTTGGGGTTTGAGTGAATTGGGTAGGTTTTAGAGAGAGAAAGGAAATGCAATTGTGAACGACATTCGTAATTTTACTGCCGCGTAAATCATTTCAGTATTAATTATTATGGATCTAATTTAGGAGTATTCATTTTTGTATGGGCTTCGTTGGGCTGCACGGATTCAAAGCCTTGTAAATTGCGGTTGGGCTGAAAATAAATGTGCTGGTAGATAATTAATTACATGGATTAAGAATTAATTTAAGGCTACATTTCTTTAATTGAGTCTATTATATGCAAAATTCGGGTGTGCTTCCACCATAGTTTATTTTAATTGTGTTCATTCATTTGTTCTACAATTCTGTCCTTATTTTATATTGATTGTTTTCGATAAATCATCCATAGTAATTTGAGGTATTTTTTACTTTCTATTAGCAATGTTGGAATTTCCGTGGTTTGACCATAAATAGAGTGAATAGAAATTTTTGTACTATAGTTCGAAACACGTCCGCACGATATTGGCGGATCGAGTCGAGCTTGGGCATGGGCTTGAATTTCCAAAAGAAGTATTATTTTGGACAAAAATAAATATTTGGACTTCAAGTTTTGAGTTTGGGATTTATTAAAATATGTAAGCCCAAACCTAAATAAATTAGTATAGCCCAAAAATTAATTTAATTAATTAGTATATATGGCTAATTTCAAAATAACTTCCAACTTAATTAAACAAATGCATCTATTTTATTGAACATATGTGTTCTAATTTAATAGTTGCTTTGAATGAAAAGTTTTTTCTCTAAACTTTATGTTTCTTCACGAACCAACACCTATAGTCTACATAAAAATAGAATTTGGTCAATTCTATATATGTCTTAATTAGATGTGATGAGTTCTTCTTTTTTGTCGAAATTCCGTTCGATTTTCAAGTTCGCTATGGGTTTGATATATGTGCGAATATTCAATAACCGAGTGTTGTATTTTAGGAGACTATCGATAAAAGGTTGTTGCACTGCAGACAATCGAATAGTTTTTGATAAATAATTGAATAATATGTTTTATAATTTAAAAGTAATATTTGCAACCAAGAGAATATGACTTATAAAAATATAACTTAAAAAAAACTATTTTTATGAAATAATAATTTATATTAATGTAAAAAGAATCAGTTATTTCGTGGATATGACTTGAATTTAAAACATATTTAAATGATTATAACATTGCATCTATTAATAATTTATTTATATTTTTTAGTATGTTAATATCTATGGAATTAATTCTATTATATATATATATTGTTCTATTATATACAAATTTATTTATAGTTTATTATAAATAATTATAAGTATAATATTTCCAATGAATAAATAAATTCGTTAAAGTTAAATAAATTGTACGTCGAAGGACTATATTAAGATAAGTTGTAGAGTTGAAGGATGATAATGAGATAATAGGGAAACAAAAGGGACTAAAATGAGACTAAATATTAATTCGAACGATTGTTAGTGAGATTTGGCCCAACAATATATATGAATTATGACGCAAAAGTGACGCAGCATTTTATTTATTTTTATGCTGCATTTGTGCATGGTTGAAAATTTTGGGGATTGCCAAATAAATAGTCTCGTTTCTACAACATGATTGTCACTTTTTGATTTTTTTTATTTTTCTCTCAGTTTCTTTCACACGTATATATTTTCGGATGTCAAAATCTTTTGCTACCAAACATGTTTGAAAATTTTATATTCTTTCTGTTTTCATATTATAATTTTTTTTTTTTCATAATAATATATTACCACATCTGAATGCCAATGTTTTTTTGAATTGTAATATGTTTTTTCATTGACTTTTCGGTCAACATAATATAAGTATATATATACATATATTATTTATTTTTTTAAATGAATTGTTAAATAAGACTTTGAGGTATTATCAATTATAATGATCTACTCGAGCTCGAAAAATCTGGTGAATTCAGCTGGAGCTCGACTTATTTACACTCCTACCCCTAACCGCCCCCTTCATTTTCTCTTACCTTTGACTTCATTAATTATTCACAACTTTAGATTATTATGTTTAATTTGACTATAGGAGAATTTTCAATCACAACAATTTTAATAAATTTAATTTCCATTGAAGCACCTAAAGAATGGGACTAACCGGACCACAACATGCCCCCTTTGGGCCTTCATCGAAAATGCCCAACGTAAGACTTCTTCAAAAGCGACCGTTTCACGAACGGAAGGAAGAAAGAAAAAGCGATTTTCTCTATAAATCTTTGTACCGATTTATTTAATAATTTTGTATTCCGATTTTATCACCAATTATCGGTACTGATAAACAAAAATTCAATTTTTTTTTGTAAACGAACATAATCTATTTTCTTTTTTCTGGACTCTCAATGGGGGCAACAAACGGTAGGCGGGCGATGGCGAACTGCGAGCACGCACCGGGAAACTCTTATTTCTCCTTCATCCTATTTTCTTCGTATGTTTTTCCTTTTTCTGAAATTGTTGATTTTTTGTTCTTTTTTAAGTGGTGGAGTTTATTAAATGATCACAACTTGAACTGACTATTCGAACACTCCAATCAGATTAAAAACTGAGTTTCGAAATGTTCAAAAAATAAAAATATTAAAACAAAAATCGTCCAAATCGGCCCGTGTACTGTCGATAAGAGTCACGATTTTTGGACTGGGGCCATGGTCATGTGTTACCCGATATACAATTAAACCGATATAAATTAATATGGTTTGGGCTAACAAAATTGTACTAATTTAGCGAAATATTAAATTGTCAAGTTAATAATTTAACACATTGTAATCGAATTGGAACTGAAAGAACTTATTGTTTAAAGGAGATTATCAATTTATCGAGATACTATTCTGGATGATATAAGTAATATAACCATGTGAATATTTTGACAGTGGTGTGATCCCACGCGCTGGCGACGACCAAAACATACGACTCATTCTATTCTATGATATAAATAAAGCGTAACTAAAACAACTCCCCGTGTACCTCATTTCATACTCCAACTTGTCAACCTTCAAACCGCGGCTCCCCAGTCAACCCATTCTATTACTATATATATATATCAAATAAATTCATACACATAAATCATATAATACATGCATATATATATATATATATATACACATACTAATTAATTTGCATCTTTCAATATCAATCATTCCCACAACACCACCACCAAAATAATTTTGCAATAATGGGGTGTTCTTCTTATAAATCAATACTAATATTTACTTGTCTGATATTTTTCGAGTCGAACTTTCGAGAAGCTCGGGCGATAAGGCCAATATTAATGACAGAAGGGAATATTCTCGTGATTCAATCTCTGCCTAGAGGAGCCGTTCCCAAGTCGGGCAGCAGCCCCTGCACCTACATTCCCGGCGGCAAAAGCCGGGGACGCTGCGCTTTGGCTGTCGCCGGGGAGGGGTTTTCCGGCCACCCTGCGCCCGCACCCGCGGCGGCGGCGTTCCCTCCGGTCGTGGTTCGCTTTGCCGCGGCAACAGATCACAATAGTTGATTTGATTCTTTGATTCTACAGATATATAAATTTGGTTGATGTAAATAATTACAGTATACGTCCCTCGTGATTTGCCTTTCTTGTTTTTGGACATTCCAACATTTTTTTATTTTATTTTTGGTCCTCATGGAAAATCATGAAATGTAGGGTTGACAAAGTTGACCGTTTCAGTTGAGAAATATTGTAATAAACTCCGGTTAACAAAAACCAGAAACTCGTCATAAATATATTTATGTATTTTCTATATCGTGATCGATGTGTTTTCACTAATTTTACCCTCCATCTTTTTCTTTTTATTTCAAAATATAAACAAATTAAAAACATATAAGTTAAGAAAAGTAAGAAAAAAATTATTATTTAAACTTCTAATTAGCATAATCAATACATTCCGTGAAATATTCGTCGAAGAATCTTGAATTTACCGCGTAATAGTAAGTGGAAAAATTTCAAGATTTCTCATTTTCATTTTCATTTTCATTTAATAGAAGGGTTAATTAGAATAAATCTAGATAATGTAAAATTTGAATTTGGTTTTAAATATGATTTATAAATATATGGTTTTCTCTATATCATGTAATATTGTACTCCATCCGTCCCAATTTAAATGACGTTTTGGGTTGTTGCACACATATTAAGAAAATCAATAAATGTGTATAGATTATAGTGAAAAACATAGAAAAATACTAATGTATTCTTGACATTAATTATTTTACAACTAACTAATTAGGAGTGATGAAGGGTCAAATTGAAAATAGTGCAATTAATGATGCATTGAAAATCTAAAATGACAAATAATTT